TAAACCCCCATTTTCTAAAAAATTTTTCTTGAATCTTCAACCATTTTTTTCTAAATTCCCAAAAAAACCACGCAAATTTTCACCCTCAAAAAATCTATATTAGACATCTCCATAGAGTGCTATATAGACATCTATAATATAGAAATTCACTTTCTACCCTTCTCTTCCGAACCTACTAAAATAAATTCATAATCACTGATAAAAGCCCTGTAAAGGAAAAATTATTCAGCACATTTCAGAAAAAAATATAGCAGGCTCTCATAACTCTTGTTATTAACCTTCCAGCTCTCTCCTATTCGGACAACTGAAATAAATATTGCTTCTTCTGAAACTCTTCCTTGCATAAGAAAACAAAAGAATTAAAAATATGAATCTAAAAGAAAATAAATTAACTTATTTAGCCTTTGGTATTCTCGCTGGTTTTGTAGTGGCTTACGCTTACAAGAATTATTTAAAAAAGGAATAGATTATGTTAAAAAAGACAGTTAAGAAAAGCACGAACAACCAATCAGGACTTAAACAGGCTTATGACTTGGTAACTACTGACTTGCTCCGTAATTTGAAAAAAGCCAAAGATGGAACTCAAATAAAATTAGGAGATTTAGGAAGTTTTGAGAAAAAGTTATCCAGAACTAGAAACCCTTATGGCGATGTTTATCGGTATTACCGTATAAACTTTAAAGGTTCTAGTTTGTTGAAAAAAGAATTAGATAAATAATGAAAAGTTTACAGAACTTCTTAAAGTTTAAAAAACTTCTCTAAGATTTTTAGCATAAAAATGTTATGGATAACAAACAAATAGCACTATTAGGAATAGCAGTGATTTGTGTGGGTGTCTGTGCTTACCGGTATTACGGAAAGCGGATTGACAAAGAAAATGACTATCTAAAATTGATACCGACTGTTGCGGGTGGACTTTACGCCCTCAACTTCATTTTTAATTTAGCCACTAACTAATTATGAATAACTTCCAAAATCAAAGCAATCAACAATTTAACCAACAGCAAAATCAAGGTCAATTGCCAAATAAAGGTCTTTTCTCCTTACCTCCTCAGGTTATGCAGTTTGTCCCTTGAATTCCCTTAATGTTAGAAATGACGACGGGACAGAAAATCCCGCAAATGAGCGGAACCATAGGAGACATTCAGCAAGGAATTCAGACCATCCAAATGACCTTAGGACAGATTATTCAGCACCAGACAAATTTGGAGCAAAGACTAACTGCCTTAGAAACTAACGCTAGTTCTCAGTTCACTAACCTAGTCCAGCAAGTTCAAAGCATTAAGTCTATCAGATTAAGCCATTCCAAAGAAACCAAAGCCATTGACTATAATTTAGAAAACCAAAGCAATTAATATGTCTCTATTCAATATTAATGCTGACATTGCATCCTTAATTAAGGAAATCCAAGAATTTAAGAACAGTCAGCAAAAGCAACAAGCCCAAATTATTGACCTGTTAAAGGAACAAAAACAATTATTACAACAAATATTAACTAAATATGGCAATTAAAGAAGAAAACGAAAATCAGCATTACAGTAGCAAAAGAAATATTCTGATTCGTGAAGACTTAGAATATACAGCAGGAAGAATATTGATTTATTCGGCTATTGGTTTAACTGCTATTAGCATTTATGCCTATTTTGCTTACCTAGTAGTGCAACAAGCAAAAAAATAGAAATTAAGAATTAAAAATATATGACAAGAAACAACGAAAATTTAGAAAATGAAAACTCCTGAACTTCCTGAGCGACTGGTAAATTAGCCATGTTCGCTATTGGATTAGCAGCTGGTTATTTTTTATACCAAACAGGGATGATTCAAAAAGTAACTGGTAAATTATTCAGCAAAAAAGAGAGCGAATAAAATTGCTCTCCGAGACTTGTAAAGAAATCATGACTCAAACTGCCAATCTCCAACAAACTATTGATAGTGTTCTCCAACAATCTTTAAGCAGTAATTCGCTAGAATCTAGTATTTTACTCTGAACTAATCAAAATCCTAAGAACTCTTTTATCCTTAAAAAAGATGGTAAAAGATATCTAGGTTTGCCTAGAAAAGATAAAAAAGGAGGGGATTATTGGAAGTTTAAAGAGATTGGTAGCACTAGCCCAGTATTGGAAAAAAAAGATCAAGAAAATGCCAATAACTCTAACTCACCAGAATAATGAAGTAGTAACTACTACTGATTTAACCAAAACAGTGGAAGATTTAAGCACTGGTTTATCAGCACTAAAACCTAATAATTCTGAGACTACTCAGATTATTACTTATGCACTAATAGCAACGGCAGTAGTGGGAATATTTGTTTATCACTACATAAAAAGTCAAGAAAACTTAGAATAACATGGGAATTAAAGATTATTTACCAGACTTCAAAGGAGCCTTAAAAGGTTTTTACGAAGAAAACTTAAAAGCCACTATCGAAACTAAAACGGCTTATTATGAAGCCCTTTTAAAAGAAAACATCGCTTTTGGTCAACGCACGCAAAAAATAGCCATTGCCTTAGGAGTGGGGATATTCTTGCTATTAGCCATTGCTTATTTTTGGAAAGATGAATAAAAAACACCAAATAAAACTAACTAAAAAATATGAAGAATTTAAAATATATCGCTCTGGGAATATTAGTCAGTTATTTAGGACTGTATGTCTATAACTTAACTCAAACTTCCCAAGAAAACCAATAAAATTATGTCACAAAAACAATCCTCTATGTTTAGCCTCAAATATGTCATTCTTTTCTCGGGTTGTTTTATTTTCGGTTGTTATCTGCGACATTGGATAAATACCGGAAGTGGACAATTTCGGAGATTCCAAGAATTTTTTTAAAACACTATGTCAGGAACTATTTTATGTATGTTATTAGCCGCTTTGTGTGGTTTTTTAGCTCAGCAATCTGTCGAAACTTTAATCAATACTTCCCTCACTCTGTTGCCTTTTAATATTCGAACTGTCTAAGCATCTGCTCGGTTTTTAGCCTCGTCGGAAAAAAGAAATTTAAAAA